CCTTTTGCCAGAACGTATTTTTGCTCACCATCAGCTCACTCACACTGGAGAGCAGCCCTATTAATGTAAGGGGTATGGCAAAGCTCTGTCTGATTATTCACCCCTCATTTACCACAGGAGAGTGCATACTGGACAGACATCTTTTGAACATAGTAAGTGTGGGAAGGTTTTCTTTGACCGCTCATCCCTTAATCAGCATCACAGAATTCACAGTGGAGACAAGCCCTGTAAATGCATGGAATGTGAGAAAGCCTTCTTCCAGAAAAGACAGCTTATTCAACATAAGAGAGTGCACACTAGAGAGAAGCCCTACAATTGCAGCATGTGGAAAACTTTTCAGTTGCAAGTCCTGTATCATCCAATATCAGCGACGTTATGCCTAACAGGCCTCAGAATATCAGGGAGGTGCTTGAGCAAGACAAGTGATCCCATAAAGACTTAAGATGCTTTTGTTCAAGATCATGAGGATTTATGTTTAAGCACCTTCCAACTACTACTTATTCTCATGACTCCATTTGATACCACAATCTCAAACAGTCTCAATGGACCATGCCGTGGACTTCCCCTGGGATGCCTCAAATTTGAGATAACACTCTGAGGATCCGCAAACTGGTCGGAAGCTCCTCCCTCAAGTCAATATGCTTTGTAGGTGTTTGAAGGAGACTCTATTGCTAGACTGAATGCTCCATGAGAACTGGAATTATTTCTTATCTGTTCATTGTTATGTTCCCAGTGTGGTGCCTGGAACTTATCACATATGTTCTGAATGAATCAACACCAGTCTGGTCATGAGAACTTGAGCCCCAAATCAAGTGCACTTTGTAGAACTAGAAAATTCAGTAAGAAAATAAACATATAGCTTTTATCTATTTAGAACTGCAAATGCCTTCACTATAGTTATGCTGTTAGCTATTAAATCTACTCCTCTTATAGCTTCCTGGAGCTTTCATTTTGGTGACATGTTCTTGTCCTTCACTTCAGTTCTCAGGACCCTTCGTTTCCCTGAACTTTGGCTCTTTTGTCCCATAACCTGACTTCTGGGCTCTGGTAGGCTAGCCCATCACCATTATCTTTGTTTAATCTCATTGATGATCAAGATTCCTTAGTCTGGCTCTGCCAGTTGATAGACAACCTGGACACAGCACCTTCCCTTTTTAATCCTATATTCACTTGTAGCTGCTAAAGGGGGAAATATTAATCCAGAAAAGTTCAAAGTCCAAGCAACAACAAAATAAATAAGTGGTACTTGATTAAAGTAAATTAAAAAGCTTCTTCACAGGCAAGGAAATAATCAACAGAGCAAACAGACAACCTACAGAATGGAAGAAAATATTTGCAATCTACACATCTGATAAAAGGATAATATCCAGAATCTACAAAGAACTCAAACAAATCAGCAAGGAAAAAACAACCTCATTCAAACGTGGGCAAAAAAGGCATGAACAGTAGTTTTTCAAAAGAAGATAGATAAATGGCCAATAAACGTATGAAAAAAATGCTCAACATCACTAATCATCAGGGAATTGAAAATAAAAACCACAACTCCTGTTAGAATGGCTTTTAAAAAGTATAAAAACAATAGATGCTGGTGTGGATGCAGAGAGAAAGGAACACCCATACACTGTTGGTGGGGCTGCAAATTAGTACAACTCTCATGGAAAACAGCATGAATATTTCTTAAATAACTAAAAATAGACTTACCATTTGATGAGCAATCCCACTACTGGGTTTCTACCCAAAGGAAAATAAGTCATTTTATCAAAAAGACATAATGCACTTGAATTTTTATTGTAGCAAAATTCACAATTGCAAAGATCTGGAATCAACCCAAGTGCCCAACAGTTCATGAGTAGATTAACAAAATGTGGTATATGTATACCATAGAGTACTACTCATCCATAAAAACTATGAATTAATGCCTTTTACAGCAATTTGGAAGGAATTTGAGAACATTATCCTAAGCAAAGTATCTCAAGAATGGAAAAACAAACACCATGTCTACTCTCTAATAAATTGGAACTAACTGATGGACTCACAAGTGCACAGGGGAAAGTAAAAGTGATTGCAAATCAAGCAGGGGGTGGGAGGAGGAGCAAAAACCCACCTAATGGGTACAATGAACACTATTCAGATGATGGACACATTTATAGCCCTGACTCAAACTATGTAACAAAAACATTTGTACCCCTTTAATATTTTGAAATACAAACAAACAAACAAAAAACTCTCCCCAAATCAAAGTCCAGTTGAAGCAGCTAGGTGCGGCCATGGAAGCTAGGTGAAGTCCAAGGCTGAAGAGGTTACCTACAATGAATCAGGAGATGGGGCTATGTCTAATCTCAAAGAATACCAAAAAGCCAAAGTTAATCCCAGACATAGCTCATGCATGATTAGTCATCCCTCAGCACCAAAGCAACAGACATGAAGATGTGACTGAAAGCCAGACCACCAAGCCCTATTAGACATGGTGTCCTTCTTGCCCTCAACATCAGTATGAAATCAAAATATAGACTATCCTGTTCACACTTGGAATAGTGTAGAGACTTGGACTGGCATCCTCACACCTGCATCTTTGAGAATTCCTGCTTCATTAATAAAGCAATAATTCCAGACAGCAGCTGAGAGAGTGTGAGCACCAGGATGAGGGGGAGGATGGATTCTTGATATCTAGGTATTTTTTAAAAGTACATTTGTTTTAATTCTTGGGCCACATTAGCATTCTCGTGGATGAAAGAGGCCAGTGTGGTTGTAGCAGAACAAATTAGGGGAAGTCTTAGAAGTTGAGATCAGAGAGCTAATGGAGGTGGATGGTGCAGATTACCAAGGGCCTATGGGCCATTCTAAAGACTTGGGCTCTTATTCAGAGATAAGGGAGGCACCGTGCTAGGAACAGAGTGTGCAGGACAAGGGTAGAAGTAGGACTAATGAGCAAGCATTTGCAGTGATTTAGGTGAAACACAATGGAGACATGGACCAGGTGGTAGTGGCCTGGTGGTGTTAAGTGGTCAGTTTTTGCATATATCCTGAAAGTATACCCAACAGGATTTTCTGAGAAACTGGATGGGGGTGTGAGATAAAGAGAAAAATGATGACTCTAAAGTGTCTGAACTGAGCAACTAGAAGGATGGAGTTGCTATTTACGGAGATGGGGAAAATAGCAGGGGGAAGAGGTGTGGCAGTGGGGGGTGGGCAGCAGAGGTTCAGTTTTGAACATGCGATGTTAGAAAAGTTTATTAAACATAAAAGAGGTAGAGGAGACAGCTCAAGGTCAGGGGAGAAGCCCAGGCTGGAGATATACAATGGGGGTTGACAATATTTGGATGGTATTTTGAGCATCTAGCCTGAACAAGATTGCCTAAGGAGTGTTATAGAAAATGAAGAGAGGCCCAAGGTTTGAGCTCTGGGCATTCCGACCTCTAGTTGATTCCCAGATGAACAGCTTCAGTGTCACCTGGGAACTTGTTAGAAATGCAAATTCTCAGGTGCCACCCCAGAATGCCTGAATGGGGGTGGAGCCCAGAACTGTTATAACAAGCCTTTCAGATGATTCTGATTCCAATATAGTCACGTGCCACATAACAATGTTTCAGTCAACAATGGACCACTGGTTTAGAGACAGGGGAGAAGAATAAGAAATAACTACCAAGACTGAGAAGGAGTGACCAGTCAAGGAGGAAGAAAACCAGAGAGTGTTTCCAGGAGCAGGGAGTAGTCAAGTTTTATCAAATGTTGTCCATAGGTAAAGTGAGATGAAGACTAATAACTGATGGTTGCTTTGGTAACAAAAGAAGGGATTTCTGTGGTGGGGATGGTTAGCAACAAGAAGAAAGGTATTCTCTGGTGCTTCAGACACAGCAGGTGGTGGTGCCTTTCATACACACCATCTTCTAAAGGGAACTGCACATCCCGCATTTCCTGCTGATGGGAAGGTAGGGAGATTCCCTCTGACTGTTGTTAGAGCTGGCAGGGCTGTGTCTCTACATGTCCCTTTATCCCCCCAGCCCCAACTGATTGAACCCCAAACAGCCAATCGATAGGCCAGTTGGAGATAAGTGTGGCTATCTGTGTAGAAGAAATAATAGTGACTTATACAAAATAGAAGTTTACATCTCTCATGTTAAAGCCCGAGCTCTGTTCCAACAAATTGTCAGGGGCTCAGTTCGTTCTATCTTGTTGGCTTGCCTTTCCTAGGTGTTTTAGCCTAGTCCATGATGATTTATTGTATGTGTTCCAGCCAGCACGGCGGGGGATAGGAGCGGTGGGGGTTGGGGTGTCTGTGTGCCAAAGGCAGGAATGATGAGAAATGGAATCTTTACTCCGTGAAGCCTTAGGCATAGCTAAAAGTTGGGGATTCTATTAAAGAAAGGACAATCGGACAGTGTGGCTTGTATCCTAACAGGAACAGTTAAGCTAATTAGGTTTCCTATTGGAGGTTTGAACTGGAGAGACACTGGCACTTTACTGTGGGAAGGTAAAACACGCACTAGCCTGGAGATTCACCAACTCCTATGGCCTGTGGGGAATCTGAAAAGCTTTCCGGTTCCAGTCACCTTGGGTCAGTAGTACCAGTTACCAGTTCTTCTTAGGGACCTGGCTATCTCTGGGCTGAAGTGGTTGAAATTCCACTTTTCTTTCTTCAGGGTGCAGTCTGGAACACAAAGATCCCTCGTTCCTTGAGGTAAACTGAGATAATCTCTGTGCTGCTACGTGGAGGCGCAGCAGGGAGAGAATGACAAGGGTGGAGGAAGTATCCCTTAGATTGCCAGCGCGTCCCCTCTGAGGGAGCACCGCAGCCAAGGGCGGAATCCTGGGTGGGTCAGAGGCGGCCGCCCTCTGAGGTTACAGTTGCAGGAGTGCGAAAGTCCCACACCCACATGGCGCCCGGAGTCAGCACCTAGGGACTGCCGGTCCGCCTGCGCCCTTGGGTCCTCTGGGAAGCTGCGTGCGGGGTCGCGAACCGCGCCCTGCGGAGGATTCTGGGAGTTGTAGTTCAGCCTCACAGTGGGCCAGCGCGGGTCGGTCCGGCCGGCTGTTAGATACCTTTGTCGCCTGGCTCGGATTTCCTCCGTGTCCCGCGTGAGGTTGGGCTCCGGGTGGATGGGGGCTGAGCGCATGCCCTTCTAAGTCTGAGAGCTCAGAGGGAGGACGACGGGAGGGCCTCGGGGTAGGGGGTGCCGGGCGGCCCGGCTAGGGTCGCGCGTGCGTTCCCGGGCCCTTGGGTGGACCAGAGTGGCGGACCCTCAGGCCCTTCCCCCGCGGCGGTCGTCTCCGGCCCGGGCGGAGGAGGGAGTCGCCATGGAGCCTGGGGGCAGAGGTGAGGATTTGGGAGTGAAAGGACCGCGGTGTCCGCTCGAGAGAAAGGAAAGGAGAAAGGCTGCCCTCTGGCTGGGGCAGGCTCGGGAAGGAGGAGCATCATGTTCTCTGTGTGAGAGAGTCCCTGCCTACTAGTTGATCTCACGTTGGGGTTTTGAGGGAGAGCCCGCCACCAACCTCCATAGCGCTCCTGGTCTGTAGGGTGATGGTTGCCTTCCTTGTCCCCAAAAGTGAATACAACAGACAATTTGGCTTTTGATAACAACTTCCTTTTGTCCTTAGAAGAACCCCATAAGGCAGAAGGAAGGAGACCATTTGACACATTTGGGAGATAGGGAAGGCGGGGTCACAGGATTTGTTTACAATACAGATGTTTTTTATTTATATTTTTGTTTGTTTGTTTTTCTACAAGACCCATCGCTTTTCTGAAACAGCCAGTATTGTATCTGAAAAGCCTCTGTTCAAGAAGAATTTAACTACTATTTCTTCATCCTGTGAGCCTAGAATACTACAGAGATGAATTATTAAGTGAGGCATGGATTCACACACATAGACTTTGAGTATTATTTTGACTAATCAGCAGATGAGAGGTAGAAATATATATTTAATTTATGTGTCCATAGTCTCAAGCCAGATTTCTACTGGAGTTTAAGGGCAGAAGAAGACAGGAGGAAGGTGAGACAGCAATGGTCAAGGCCATCTTGATTAAAGGATATTGTGGGATTGTCCCTTGGTTCCCTGTGTTAACTCCTCTTAGACAACATGTAGCTGATAAGTGGCTGTTTCTGTGAATTTACTGAAAGGGCAGAGTAATCATCTTGGCTCCTGGCTCCACTTCTAGGATTGCTTTCTGAGGACTCACACTTCCTCCATGCTGAAAACCCAAAAGACAATGGCATGACTGCTGTGCTGCTAACCTCTGGGTCACAGGTAGGTTGAGAATTATTTTTCCTTCTGTTGTCAGAGCATGGATATGTTTTCTTCCCTCATTATGGAATTGCTCAGCACTGATTCCTAGACTACTGGGTTCATTTTGATAAGCTGATGACTGATGAACTTCACAGGACATGCTCCTCACTTGTGCAGAACTTTCCTTCCCACCATTGCTTTTTACCTACCCACTAAGTGCTTTCTGCACACTTACCAACCCTTCAATACTATAATTGGCCTCGTGGTGAGATGCAAATTAATAAAAGCCACTTGCTCTTGCCTCAGGGAGTTTACTGAGACAGTAAGATATAGATGAATACAATAATTAAACAGCATGATGAAATATATGTTTTTTAAATACAGAAATGACTGGTACAGGCAAGTTATAAAAGGCCCTGGAAGATGTTTTCTGTCATCTATTTGGGAGAGCCTTGGGATAAAAGCTGCACTTTGAAAAACAAGAGAATGGGTAGTTGGAGAGTAGAATACAGGAATATTCCAAGAGAGAGAAAACAACTTTGGCAAAAAAAAAAAAAAAGTCTTCAAGTGATGAGGTAGTTGTAGATCTTCATGGGCTGTGTGAGTCACTGTGGGGTGGACTGGAGTGTGGTGAGGGAAGTTTGGGTGTCTTGGAGCCAGATCACCAGGTTGTCTACAACTGGGCAGACAAGTGACCAAAGGTAAGAGGACCAGCAAGGTGAAACATGCTGTAACTGATTGAAGAGAGATGATTGGAAAGGATGCTTCTATAAGATCTTGCTAGGACAGTGGGAGATTGGCAGGGCCTTTGGTGCAGGTTCTGAGACTACTTGTCTGTGTCACACCAAGCCTCACTGCTTATGAGTGCTGATGATCCTTATGAAACATGGGCGAAAATACCAGTATTGATTTTGATGTGTGAATTTGTAGATCACTTTCAGAGAGAAAGAGCAGAAAGTAGCATTTACTAGACAGTATCTGATTGTCCTACCTGTACCTTCCAGCCCCAGTACATGCACACTTAAATGAATTGGATTGTTCAGGTTTTCTCAGGGAACTAAGTCCAAAAGAAACTGCCAATTAGTCTGTTAATGTTAGCATTGTTTATAAAGAAAGTAGACTGTACAAATTATATTATTTGTGTTGATCACTCCTGAGGCATGTGGCCTTAAGGGACCATAAACTTAAATAAAAAGTGTAATGATTTCATACTTTAAGCCTTACAATGAGTAGTTTATTTTGGGCAGGAGATTTTCAAAGTAGTAAACTCTTTTAGCTTTATTTTGTTACATGCATTGTTTTTGGAGAACTATGTAATATGCATTAGAATGCTGAATATAAACAAAATTAACTACTATATTCACATATATGTGCAGGGGGCTGTGGCAAAAGTGGTAGTTCAAAGATGGGTAAGACTGATTCATTTGCTAGCAACCCAGGACTAGTCTATTTTAATGTGTTTAAATTGTAGTTGTATAGCAATTTTTTTTTTTTTTTTTTTGAGACAAAGTCTCACTTTGTTGCCCAGGCTAGAGTGAGTGCCATGGCATCAGCCTGGCTCACAGCAACCTCAATCTCCGGGGCTCAGCGATCCTACTGCCTCAGCCTCCCAAGTAGCTGGGACTACAGGCATGCGCCACCATGCCCAGCTAATTTTTTTTTTGTATATATATTTTTACCTGGTCAATTAATTTATTTCTATTTTTGGTAGAGACGGGGTCTCACTCAGGCTGGTTTCGAACTCCTGACCTTGAGCAATCCGCCCGCCTCGGCCTCCCAAAGTGCTAGGATTACAGGCGTGAGCCACCACGCCCGGCTATGTATAGCAATTTTTTAAAAATAGAATTAGAAATTATTAGACATTTGTCTTATCAGCAGTAAATAAATTCAAAGGGGCATTATCTGCCCTTCTCCCTCCCTCTACATTTTAGTATACAAACTAAACTTCGTGCCTGTCATCTAGATTAGGGTTAGGCTAAAGCAAACACACAATGTTTTCAATATTTGGTACACTTCTGTCCCCCTCCCACTTCTGTTCTGATGCACATTTTTGTAGAATATCCTATTTAAACTTGTTTTTTACTAATTCATGTTCATTCCTTGCTGCATTCAACTATTCAACTAAAATTTACAGAGTTCCAACTTTGTGCTGGGTACTAGGGGTGCTTCAGTGAGCAGAAACAGACCTGACTTCTGCTCTCATGGAGCTTACAGTCTAATGGGACAAACAGTTGTTAATCACAACATCCCCTCAATGTGTGTAACCCAAGAGAAGTGAAGGGACATGGTGTCACAAAAGGCTTTCCTTGAGGAGGTAACACCTGAGCTGAGATCTGAAGTATAAATAGGATTGAAATAGCTGAGAGGATGGGTCAGGGGAGAGAACATTCAGGAACGGGAAACAGCATGTATAAAGGGGCACAAGGGAATGGGGCACACATTTTAAGCACCTAAAAGACAGCCACAAACCAGTGCTCAGGGAGAGCAGTAGTAGTAGTATAGGATGGGGAAGAAAGTATAATAGACTGGAGGCCAGACAGACCAGGGCCATTGTGAGAAATGACAAGAACACTTTGGGAACATTCGTAAATTTGGGCTCGAGATACTGTTTTGTAAATAAATCTATATTCTGTGACAAATGTAGGAAACATCTTGTTTTTCTCTGTGAGATACAGTTTTACAAATAAATCTATATTCTGTGACTTATGTAGGAAATGTCTTTTTTTTCTCTTTGAGATACTATTTTACAAATAAGTCTATATTTTATAACAAATGTAGGAAACATTCTTTTTTCTCCTCTAAAATGGCAGAAAACATAAATTTTTAATATATCTTATTAGGACTGATTTTATTGTGAAAGGATCGTGAAAACTAGAGAGAAAAATACTTCACATTTCTTGAACCCCTTAATTTTTAAAAGCCATACCACAAAGAAAACATTTAATTTATAACTATATTTTGTCACCTTTTCCATGTATAAGTAGTAAGGAATTCTATAGCTCTATAATATAATTTATTGATATATAAATTAAGAACTTTATACCTTCAGGTTTTACATTGAAGGTGCTTTCCTTCCTACTTGCAGGTAATATGCAATCTGATATATTGAGGCAAAGAGTGAGTCTGTGAACTACAAATTTGCCAGAGAATCTTAGTGTTGGAAAGGATGTTAGAGGTCATTTCTTCTGACCTTCCTATCTTTCCTATCTTCCTTCTTCCATGCTGTCAGTTTTAATCCTTTTCAAAGGCCTCTAGAAGGAGGCCTGTTGGTGAGCACCATTGTGTTTGGTTTTTCAGGAATCGATGATCAGGGATATGGCTGAGGCTCTTACCCAGTGGGGGCAGCTGAACTCTCCTCAGGGAGATGTGCCTGAGAAGCATAGGAATCTGGTCTTGCTGGGTAAGGATGGCTCCCCTGACCCTGTGAATTTACTCAGTATGCTGTCTTTGCTTCCTCAGTTCCTAGGAGCTCTGAGGTCATCCTTAGATGCAAAGATTTTTAATTCCTGTAAGACCCAAGAAAGGCAATTTTGCTTTTTGCTTCTGGATATAGTTTTAATGCTTCTGGAGTTAGAAACGAACACCTTTGTTATATGGACCTGTAGCATCCTCCTTTTTTACTCCTTGACCAAGGATGTCAAGACAAAGTGCTAGTGAAAGCAACTCTTAAAAAAATGGGTGCTGGCCGGGCGCTGTGGCTCACGCCTGTAATCCTAGCTCTTGGGAGGCCGAGGCGGGCGGATTGCTCAAGGTCAGGAGTTCAAAACCAGCCTGAGCGAGACCCCGTCTCTACTATAAATAGAAAGAAATTAATTGGCCAACTGATATATATATAAAAAAAAATTAGCCGGGCATGGTGGCGCATGCCTGTAGTCCCAGCTACCCGGGAGGCTGAGGCAGAAGGATCACTCGAGCCCAGGAGTTTGAGGTTGCTGTGAGCTAGGCTGACGCCACGGCACTCACTCTAGCCCGGGCAACAAAGTGAGACTCTGTCTCAAAAAAAAAAAAAAAAAAAAATGGGTGCTTATTCTTCTACTAGATCCAAGTGAAAAACAGTGACTTAATTGTTCTAAACTCAAATAAGCCCTTATCAGTCTTCCTAAATTCTGAGCATTGTTGAGGAGGAAATCTAGAACTGACCTCATTCTCTCACTCTCTCTCATACTGTCTTCCCTAAAGACTAAGGAACTAACACTAAACTCTTTACCAGACTCCTTTTTCTTTCCTTGTACACAGGGCTTCCAATTTCCAAGCCTAATGTAATCTCTCAGTTGGAGCATGGGGAGAAGCTGGAGAGAGATGTCTCAAAAGTAGCCAGTGCAGGTGAGTGACTGTTGGAAACAGTGAAGACAAAACCTAGATAGTTGATAAAAATGCTTGTGGAGGAGCATTTGCAGATTTTGCTAGACCCACAGAAAGGTTGAATTGAAGTCTCTGTCTCCCCTGTGCCATACTCCAGCTCTGTGGATGATGATCTATAAACTTTATAAAGTTACAATTTCATTTTTTAGAAGGTAAATACATTCCACTCTTTCAAACCAATTCTTTTTCTCAGATAAGGTGAAATGAAACCAATATTTTTTTGTTTGTTAATTTTTTTTCTTTTTGAGACAGAGTCTCGCTCTGTTGCCTGGGCTAGAGTGCCAGGGCATCAGCCTAGCTCACTGCAACCTCAAACTCCTGGGCTTAAGCAATCCTCCTGCCTCAGCCTCTGAAGTTGCTGGGACCACAGGCATGCACCACCATGCCCTGCTAATTTTCTCTATATATTTTTAGTTGTCCAGCTAATTTCTTTCTTTTTTTTTTTTTTTTTTTTTTTAGTAGAGATGGGATCTTGCTCTTGCTCAGGCTGGTCTCGAACTCCTGAGCTCAAACGATCCACCTGCCTCAGCCTCCCAGAGTGCTAGGATTATAGGTGTGAGCTACCACGCCAGGCTGAAACGAGTATTTTAATGTTGTTAATAACTTGCATGGCTTCAGGGCCCTAAATTAGGCTTTTCCATACATGTTATTTTCTCTCTGCAGGGTAATGCTATTTTTTGAGTCTCAGACCAATGGCTATAAATTGATCTCTGGGTTTTCCCTTGCCTTCCTCTCTATCTAAGCAGAGACAGCATAGCACAGTGGTTAAAAGGGCAGACTTTGGAACCAGTGTCCCTGGGTTCAAAGCTATTGTCAGCTATTCATTAGCTTTGTGACCCTCAACAAGTGACTTTTCCTTTCTGTGACTCAAAGTCGCCACCTATAGAATGGGGATAATGGTAGCACTTAGCTAATAAGTGGTGAGGATCAAATGAAATAATATGAGAGAAATGTTTAGAACAGTACCTGACTACATGCTAAGCAAATGATATCTATTGATTAAGTCCTAGTAATTTTTTTGAAGGATATCATGGATTTGACCCTGTTCCTTCTGTCACTGGATTACTGCAACAGACTACCATCTAATTATACTTTCTTTAGTCTTATTCTTGTAAAATTAAGGCAGCATAATACCGCTAGAATGCAGTTAGTCGCTTACTCTGCCAGTTCTGCATTCCTCTACCTGCTTTAGAGGCCTTTCTCTTTTTTTTTTTTTAATCTACCTGCCTAACCTTTTTGCCTTCTGTTTTTCTACTTGAAACTTCAACACCAGGCAGGCAAGTCCCTTATTATCCTCCACTAACCATGTCTACTCCATGAACATTTGGAGCTTTGATTGTTCCACTCCCCTTAGCTGGAAGCTCATTTGCCTTTAACTTATTTCTACATATTTGTCCTTTAAAATCCCAGGCACTTCCCTGAGTATGATATGTAGTTGAGTATGTAGTATTGTATTTATTTATCTCATGTAGAGACATTATTGGAATGGATATTAAAGACTATCTAAGCTTGAAAGTATTTAAAGATTTTTAGCAATGAAGCTCCCCCCACCTCCCAAACTCTACTAGGAAGCCTAAGAACTTGGGGCAGATGTCCTGACAGGTTTGGGACCAAACTGAGCACATGGAGCTTTGACCTTCCCCTCCCCACACTCTTTATTTTTAAACTTGGTTCTATCGTACTATTTCCAGTTTATTGAATATGATTTGATGTTAAGCAATTGGAGATAATCACTTGTTTCCTAAGTACTAAGCTTTGTGAAAATTCAAGTTTGTGGATCTGGACCACATTGAATGCTAGCTTGTAGAATTTGTGTCTCATCTTCAGTCCATGGAACCAACAGAGATTTTTATTTAAGAGTGATGGTTTTGAAAGATTTTTCTTTTAGCAGTGATTGGGACATATTGAGTGGGAAAAGATTGGTGGTAAGAAAATCATCTAAAGATGATCATTCTCAAGGCATGAAATGCTCTGGTGAGATGAGTATAGTGAGTCATCTCTGGGAGATCATCTTCTCTGATCCCAGCCCTGTCTTCTGCAGATCTTGTTTCTTTTTTTTTTTGTCTGCAGTTTCCCCACATCACCTCTGCTTAGTATTATTCTGTTATTCTTTCTTATATCCTACCCTGCTGCATAGAGGAATAGTGAGTACCTGTGCCCCTCTCCTTTAATGCAACTATACTCATTTTCCCAGTCATCTTTCTTTTCTTGCATTCTCTCAAGATTGCAAGACTATATTTGAGAGCTTTCAAGTTCACATGTTCCCTGAAAGCATTTTTTATTTCTTTGTTTCATTATTTTCCTACTACAGCAGTTATTTTTCTCTCAGTGTATGAAATGATACATGTGTATTTTTGCTTCTTTCAGACTGGGAGATAGTACCGGAAAACAAGGAGCTAACTCCAGAGAAGGACATTTCTGAAGAGGAATCAGCCCATGGGGTGTTAATAGAAAGATTTCCAAAGGAAGGTTCTAGTGAATGTGAGAATTCTTTAGTGAGTCAGCAAGAAAACCATGAGAAACATTTAATACAAGAGGTTGTCACTCAGAAGAAATCATCTGGGGAGAGAAGTTACCCATGTGATGAATTCAGAAGAAATTTTAGTCGAAGGTCATTACTTGTTCGACAGCAAGGAGAGAGACCACATCCTTGTGATTCATTTAAAAAGAACTTAAAACAAAATTCAGATATAATTAGGCATGAGAGAATTTGTGCAGGGAAAAAACCTTGGAAGTGTAATGAATGTGAGAAAGCCTTCAGTTACTACTCAGCTTTTGTCTTGCATCAGAGAATTCACACAGGAGAAAAACCCTATGAATGTAATGAATGTGGTAAAGCCTTTAGCCAGAGCATACACCTTACTCTACACCAGAGGATTCATACTGGAGAGAAACCCTATGAATGTCATGAATGTGGGAAAGCCTTCAGTCACCGTTCAGCCCTTATTCGGCATCATATAATTCATACTGGAGAAAAACCCTATGAATGCAATGAATGTGGGAAGGCCTTTAATCAGAGTTCATACCTCACTCAACATCAGCGAATTCATACTGGAGAGAAACCTTATGAGTGTAATGAATGTGGGAAGGCATTCAGCCAAAGCACATTTCTTACCCAACATCAAGTCATTCACACTGGAGAGAAACCTTATAAGTGTAACGAATGTGGCAAAGCCTTTAGTGATCGGTCAGGCCTTATTCAGCACCAGAGAACTCATACTGGGGAGCGGCCTTATGAGTGTAATGAATGTGGGAAAGCTTTTGGCTACTGTTCAGCCCTGACTCAGCACCAGAGAACTCATACTGGGGAGAAACCTTATAAATGCAATGACTGCACCAAAGCCTTCAGTGACCGCTCAGCCCTTATTCGTCATCAGAGAACGCACACTGGAGAGAAACCTTACAAGTGTAAAGATTGTGGAAAAGCATTCAGCCAGAGCTCGTCTCTTACAAAACATCAGAAAACTCACACTGGAGAAAAGCCCTATAAGTGTAAGGAATGTGGAAAAGCCTTCAGCCAGAGTTCATCCCTTTCTCAACACCAGAAAACTCATGCTGTAGGGAAATCCAAGGAATATGTACAAGCCTTTAGTGAGCATATAGCCTTTGGCCAACAAAAGAGAATTCATACTGGATAAAGATTATGTAAATGTGGTACATTCAGAACATATGTATTGAGCATACTGTGGGAGTTACAAGAAATGTAGGATTTTGTTACAAAAAGTTACTGAGAAGTCATTGTTGATGGGGAACATAGCTTACTTAGGCTGTGAAAGAGCAGTTTTACATTTTTTAAAATGTCTTAGTGGAGGACACTGAATTTTCTTGAAGAAAGAGGAAAATTATTTCTAAAACCCTAATGTGTATGTAAACTACCAAATCCTTGAGAGAGAAATAGGGTGTGCTATGGTGGAAAGAGGACATCTTAACTGGAGCAGGTAGTTTCATAATGCTAAGGACATAAGTTTTAAAGAGAAAAGAAGTCCTCTTAGGGAAATTGCAGGGATAGAAATAAGATTGAGAATTCACAGTGAGTTTGTCTAGGATCAGAAATGGTGTTAGAAAGGAAGTTGACCTTAATTATTAAGTACAAAGGAGGTATATGGGAAAGGTAGAAAAAAAGAGCTGAGGAAATGAACCCAAGATATATTGATTGAAATAACTACTCAACTGAATATTCACAACCAGGAAAAGTATTAGACTTGTTAGTTGGTCAGTTACAAAGTTTCTGTGAGGGCAACTTTACCCTGAAGCTAAGGAATGTTGGCCTGGGAGTCTGCTTTTGTCACCTACTAAGAATCATGTTAATTCTGAGAGTCAGGACCTACAGCTTAGAAAGAGAAAGTATAGAAGAGATCTTTGATGTGTTCAGCATGTTTTAAGCTGACTGAGTTCCCTGAAAATATGCTTATTTATAAAAATTTACCTCACTTGTTTCTAGTTTTACCTTAAATTTTTTCATGCTATATAGTGAAATTTAGTTGTGGACTTGCACTGATGCTGCATATTAGGTTGTGAAAAACTTGAAAAAACTTTGAAATACTTGCCTTTCACCATTTACTCTTAGGTAGAGACAGATAACATCTTTGTGTGTGTGTATATATATTTTTTTCATTGAAACTTTGAATGTTACTACTAGAAACATTTTGAGTGCAGTGTTTTTAATTTTCAGAAGCTTCACTATGATGTGTCTTGGTGTGGATTTCTTTTAGTTTATCCTTTGGTGGGTTTACTGAGCTGCTTCAATATGTAGATTTTAGCAAATATGGGAAAATTTCAGCCATCATTTCTTCAAATACATTTTTAGCCCCTACCGTCCACCCTGTCTCTCCTTCTAGACTCTAATGACAGAAATACTAGATCTTTGGTTGTGGTCCCAGAAATTCCTAAGGCTCTGTTCATTTTTCTATTTTTATCTTAGGCCACTTAATCTGCTGTAGACTGAGTGACTCAAAAATTTGTTTTCTCACAGTTCTGAAGGGTAGGAATACCAAGATCAATGTGCCAGCTGACTCTGCTTCTACTGAGGGTTCTCTTCCTGGCTTACAGATGGCTACCTTCTCACTGTCTTCCCAAGCCATTTCCTTAGGGAGGGACAGAGAAAGAAAGAGAAGGAGGGAGAGAGACAGAGACATCGCCCTACAAGGCCAATTCTGTCAAATTAGGCCTCCACCTGTATTACCTCATTTAACCATAATTACCTCCTAAAAGCCCTGTCTTCAAATACAGTCACATTGGAGGTTAAGGTTTTAACATAATGGGGGGGGGACATATTTTGTCCATAGCATTCCACTACTGGACCCCCACTAAATTTATGTCCTTGTATGAACAATACATTCATTTTATTCCAACAGCCCCAAAAGTCTTAACTCATTCTAGCATCCACTGTAAAGTCCAAAGTTTTATCTAAATATCGCCTAAATTAGATATGAGTGAGATTCAAGGTATGACTCATCCTGAGGCAAAATTCTTCTCCAGTGAACCTGTGAAACCAAACAAAATTTTGTGCTTCCAAAATACAATTGTGGGACAGGCATAATGTAGATATTCCCTTCCAAAGGGGAAAAATAGGAAAGAAGGAGGGGATGATGGGACCCAAACAAGTCTGAAACCTAGCATAGTGGCCTTGTCCCTATGGCTGTGCCAAGGCTCTGTAGGGCAGTCTGCCCTAAGGTTTCATTTGGAGGCTGGCTGGCCTGTAGAAGCCAAGGTGATGGCTCCACCTTTTGAAATAGGAAGCAATCTTGACAATCTCTGAATTTCTTTCAAGGTCATTGTTCCCTTTTTCTTGAAGAATAGCACATGTTCACAGCCAGATAGCTTTATTGTCTGGTCCTATAGGATCTAAGAAATCCTATGGCCTTCATTTTTGTTTTGTTATTTCTTGTTTTATTTGTTTGTTTGTTTGTTTGTTTGTTTATTTTCTGTCCCCTTTAGTCCCATCTGACTGTTTCTCCCTTTTCTATTCCTGGCTTGTGCTGAGAGGGCTGTTGAAATCCATTAGTCACATCTGTGATCTCTTATCAAATGATTGTTCAGCCACACTCTTTGTGTTTTCTTCATAATAAATTCTCTCGTATTTTTGAGATATGGATAGACAGAATGTTCCAAATCTCTTAAATTCTAGTTCCTTTTTTGCTTAATTCCTTTTTCAATTCATCTCTCTCCTCTCACAATTTATTATAAGCAGTAAGGAGGAACCAAGTTGCATCTTCAATACTTTCTTTAGAAATCGCCTCTGCTAAATATTCAATTTCATCACTCCCAAGTTCTACCTTCCACAAAACACTAGAACGATTTGGACAAGTTCTTTGCCACTTTATAACAAGGATCATCTTTCCTCCAGTTCCAGTAATATTTAGCTCATTGCCATCTGAGACCTTGTCAGAGTAGCCTTTAATATCTGTATTTCTAGCAATGCACTTTAAAACTCTTCCAGCCTCTACCCACTACCCAGTTTCAAAGCTGCTTCCACATTTTTAGGTATTTGTTACAGCAGCATCCCTCTTCTTGGTGCCAAAATCGTAGTCTTCTTGGTCTGTCATAAAACAAATACCATATATTGGGTGGCTCAAACAACAGACATTTATTTCTCACAGTTTTAGAGGCTGGAAATCTAAAATTGAGGTCCAGCAGGGTTCAGTTCCTAGCTCCTAGATGGTTGCCTTCTCACTGTGTCCTCACATGGCATTTCCTCAGTGTGTGTGTGCAGAGGGAGAGCTCTCTCTTCACCTCATAAGGGCACCAGTCCTATCAGATTGGGATCCCACTTTTATGACCTCTTTTAATCTTAATTACCTCCTAAGAGCCTATCTCCAAATACAGTCACAATGGGGGTTAGGACTTCAACATAATGAATTTTGGGAGACATAGTTCAGTCCATAGCAATTTTCTCTATGTTCAGATTGAGTATCTTCTATTGTTCTATCTTCAAGTTCATTGGTTCTTCCTTCTGTCCCTTCCATTCTACTGTTGAGCTTACAATTGAGTTTTATTTCAGGTATTGTATTTTTCAGTTCTGTTTGGTTCTTTATTTATTTATTTTTTGCCGAGACTTTCTATTTTATTGGTTTCAAGCATGTTTGTAATTACTCACTGAGGCATTTTTATGATGGCTACTTTAAAGTCTTTGTCAGGTTATTTTAATATCTGTGTTATCTCAGTGTTGGTATCTGTGGATTATCTTCTCATTTAAATTGAGATTTTTCTTGGCTCTTGGTTTGATGACTGATTTTCAATTGGAATTTGAACATTTTAAGTATTATGAGACTTAGTATCCCATGTAAATCATCTGTTTTGGCAGGCCTTCTCTGACACCACTCTAGTGGAGAAAGGGTTGGGGAGTGCTACGTCATTAAGTTGGTGTTAAAAATCGAGGTTCATCATTGGCCTGTGATGACACCTTGGGCAGAGGTCCTCAATACTGTTGAGCTGGGGTGGGCCTAGTGGGGACTAGTCCTCCACTGGTGGCACACTGGCTGGAAGGACTAGGAATGTCTCATTACTGCTCCTCACATGGCCTTTACTATCCTCATGGGGTGGGGTGGGGTGACCTTATTACTATTGGGCATTGATGTAAGTCCTGACCCTCCACTAGGCCTCCATTGACACCACATGAGTAAGGAATGGGATGTCTTATCTCTGGGTAGGGTTGAATGCTTAGTCTCCCCACATGGTCTTCACTGATACTGCCAGATGGGGGAGTGGTGGATTTTGAAAATCTGTTGGTCCACTTGGCCTTCTCTGATGCTACCCCAGTGTGAAGATCGAGGGTTGAGGAGCCTTGTTACAGCCTGATGAGAGTGTAATTGTAGGCTCCACACTCAGCCTTTGTTGGTGGGGATAGGGCTGCAGCTTTCTTCTGTGGTGTCTGGCTGGAATAGGATGATTATTGTCTTAAAAAGTGTTGTGTCTTGCTAGGTTGCTCCATTCCTAGTCTTTTGGCTGGAAAAGCAGACTTTTGGTGGGCCTTTATTAGTCTGTGCCTGTTGGCATTTCTGGGTTGCCAGCTTCTCCAGAGTCCAATCTGGGACGGATGAAGCAGAAAGAAAACTCAAGAAACTCACTGTTGTGTTGTTCCTCAGGTTCTGAGGTCTCTAACTAGTCCATTCTCTCTCCTTCTTGTAGAACATTCTTATGTTTGTTTTATACATAATATCCAGGATTTTTAGCTGGACTCAGTGAGAGGAATAGGGGAAAGTAGTACTCCATCCTTCCCATGACATCCTTGCATTTGACACATCACATTGTGCCAGAGCCAGCCGGCAACATAGGGCACCTGGAGTTAGGGGGTGAGGCTGAGAAATGAAGAGACAACAAAAATATGGGGATGGGAGGACGGAGTCCTTGGTGACTGCCGTGCCTCGTTTATTTCAGTTACTATATTTATACAGATAAGAATAAAGGAGAAGTGAAATGCAATGGAACAGATGGTACATGTCTTCATTAAACCAGAAAACAAAACAGTTCTTGGTTTTTTCAACCTTAAGTCATTTTGATAGCCCTTTCCCTCGCTTAAGCAGTTTTCTAATCTACAACTTAACTTTTTTCTAATATCAAAAAAGCTACAAATACTCAACTATGATCACTCAGACAGTTCAAGGAAAAGAGCACCCAAGCATAATTAACAATCCTGGGAAAGGAATGTGCAGGGCCTAGGGGTGGGGGGGCGGGGCAGGGGGGTGCTATACCCTACGAGGGCTATGTGCACAGGATTACTTCAGTGACCTTCTATAACTGCTACTGCTATCTCCAGCACCCTCCGTGAGCTGGAAGAAAGGTCAAGAATGTCAGAGCTCTGAGTCAAGGCGTCAGGTGCTATGTCTCAAGGACCCCAGTGTTCTGGGCAGCAACCGCACTTTAACTCTCCCATGTCCGGGACAGCTCCCGACAGCACTGTGTCAAGTACAACTCAAAGGTTCATGGCATATATAGGTCATTTGTAACCAGTTAGGAATAAATACCAAAAAGAATGCTCACAGATTTCCCAAAGATAAGCTGTCAACTTGATAGGTAGAAACTATCAGGCTGTTCCATCTAGCTTTGAAGGAACTATGTTTTTTACATTGGGGAGACACCATTGTTTAATTATAGATTGCAAACATGAGAAAGAGGTAGATAATGACTAAGAATATAAACTATAGGGTTAAAATTTTTTTTTGTATCTTTATTCCAAGAGCATATGAGAACCACTGGAAAAATGGATTCAGAGTTTTGGATTTTTTCCAATTATGTGTTATTTATATGTGGCTATCCATTCACTTTAATTTAATAATTAAAATTAATTTTAATTTAATAACATAGAGAAACAACAAAATACAGAATGAAAATAATTGGTATTTTGGACAAGTTATTTCATCTTTTTAAATCTGTTTCCATATATATTTTTTTTTCTTAATGTAATACCTACTTGGGAATAATTAGAATTAGGTAGAAACTGGACACACTGATTTGTAAGCCATCAAGTGCTATATAACTATTATGTATTATTGATGTGGTCATTTATAAGACCTGACCATCATGTATGCTTAATGATGGTGTAGCCCAATAAAAATGACTGTGAATATAAAGGAGTGAAGCTTTTTATCTTTTAAAATAAGTTTTCTTGAACAGTACTAATATATGTATCTTTTGAGATGGTCATATGGTTTTCTTTATTAATGTGGTAAATTACATTGACAGATTTTCTAAAGTTAAAAAATCCCCGCATTGCTTGGATTTACCCAATTCAGTGATTTTCCTTCTTTCTGGATGAGTTTGTGTCTCTTGAATGTTTAGTTGTATCCACCTGTTAAACCAGGATTATTGTATTTGTAATGTATGGTTTGATTGGTTGTAAGGACTATTCAGATCTTCTATTCAAAAACTTCTTGTAAGTTTTGTTAGGTTTTTCTCAAAATTTATCTTTTTGGGGTCATTAGTTTCAAAATATTATTTTAAATTCCTGTTTCTTTCCTTTTTTCTTTTTTTCCTTTAACACTCTTATATACACTACCTGTATGCTATACTTAAGTCCCAGTTTTATCTGCACTTATGTCTCCTTTTTCTTTCCTAATATTGCTTATTTGTATCCCCTCTTTTTCTCTTGATTGTGTTTCTGAAGATTTTTCAATTTTTCTAGTCTTAAAAATAACTGACTTTTGGAGTTTTATAAAATCAACTTTATTGAAGTATACTTTACATGTAATAAAGTTTACATAAAATATTTGATAAATTTGACAAAGATATCACCCTTGTAACTACCACTGTAATTGTGTGTGTGTGGTTATAATAGTTCCTTCTCCTCCTCCCACACTCCTCCTTCCCCCCCCTCCTCTCCCTTTCCCTCCTTTCTTCCTTCCACCATTCTGTGAGTTTTAAGACCTCTGTAGACTCATGTAATCATCACGAGAATCAGGGTACAGAACAATGCTATTGTAACAAAAAAAAAAATCCCCTTCTTTTTAGACTGGCTTTTTTCCTTCTCAGTATAATGTCTTTGAGATTCATCCATCTTGTGTGTATCATTTATTCCTTTTTATTGCTGAGTACTTTTCTATTTTATGTACCACAATATTTTTATCCATTCACCCATTGAAAGACATTTGAATTATTTCTAATTTTTGGTGATTACAAATAAAACTACTATAAATAAATATTAATTATATATGGGTTTTTGTATGATCATAACTTCATTTTGCTAAGGTAAATATCTAAAGTGAAATGGTTAGGCCATATGGTGAGTGTATGCTTACCTTTGTAAGACAGGGCCAAACTGTTTTTCAGAGTGACTATAATTTTGTATTCACTCTCCCAATGTATGAGCGATATGGTTGCTCCATTATCTTTGTCAGCACATGGTCTTGTCAACATTTTTGTTTTACTCATTCTAATAGATATAAGTGGTATCTCATCATGGCTTTGCTTTGTATTTACTTAATGACTAATGATGTTGAGCATCTTTTCATATGCTTATTATCCATGTGTATATCTTTTTTGATGAAGTGTCTGTTCAAATCTTTTACCATATTTAAAGAATTCTATAGTTTTTTTTCTAGGTTACTTTTGTAATTTGTGACTTGTCTTTTTATTATTTTTTACTCCCCTTTTCTTTCAGTGTCTTATAGAGCAAAGGTTTTAAATTTTAATGAAGTCTCAGTTTGTCAGGTTTTTTTTTTTATGGACCATACTTTTGGTATCATATCTAAAAATTCTATTGCTAACTAAAGTTTAGGAAGTTTTTCTTTTACTAGTTTAATAATAATGTTTTACATTTACATCTGTGAGTCATTTTAGTTAATTTTTGTATAAAGTATGAAATATAGGCCTCAGTTCATTGGGGTGGGGTGCTTAACCAATTGTTCCAGCATCATTTGTGGAAAAATATCCTTTCTCCATTGAATTACCTTTGCCCCTTTGTCAACAATCAATTGATCATATTTGACTGGGTCTATTTCTGGGTTTTTCATTCTGTTCCATTGATTTACGTGTCCATCCCTTTGCCGAAACCATACATTCTCTTGATTACTGTAGCTTTATAGTAAATACTAAACTCAAGTAATGTAAATCTTCCAAATTTATTCTTGTTCTGATTTATATGCTTTCACTATCATTATATATTTATACATCATGTCAACTTTTACTTTATATATTATATATTATATATTGACAGTTGTTATCTGATACAAGTTAAGAATTATCATCTGTCTGGTGACTTGAAAGTTTTATCATTATGTAGTGACTTCCTTTAAACAAGAATACTTTGTAACAGATTTATTAAGATTATAATTTATATACCATAAAATATACCCATTTAAAATGTACAATTCAGTGATTTTTGTGTATTCACAGAGTTGTACAAGCATCACCACAATAAATTTTAGAACATCTTTATCACCTCCAAAAGAAACCTTTTAGCTATGGCCTCTGCTGTGGTGTGAATGTTTATGTACCACTAAAATTCATATGTTCAAATCCTAACCTCCAAGGTGATAGTATTAGCAGGTGGGTTATTTGGGAGGTGATTAGGTCATAAGGGCATAGCCCTCGTAAATGAGATCAATGCTCTTATGAAAGAAGCTCCAGAGAGATCTTTCACCACTTCCACCATGTAAGAACATGGCGAAAAGACATCTATTACCAGAAAGTGGGCTCTCAACAGAACCCAAACATTCTGGTGCCTTGATCTTGGACTTCCCAGCTCCAGAATGTGAGAAATAAATTTTTGTTGTTTATAAGCTACTCAATCTATGGTCTTTTTATTCTAGCAACTATAACAGACTAAGACAACCTCTCAACCTATTCTCCTCAACACTAGGCAACCACAAATATATTAATACTTACTATGCCTATACATTTGCCTATACCAAACATTTCATATAAATGGAATCATGAAATATATGGTCTGATATGGTTTGAATGTGTCCCTCAAAGTTCATGTGTTGAAAACTTCATTTGCTCCCTCTCTCTCTCTCCCTCTCCCTCTCTTTGCCCTTCCACCATGGAATGACATAGCAATAAAGCCTTCACCAGATGCAATGTTGGCCCCTTGTTCTTGTCTAGAGACTTCCCAGTCTCTAGAACCATGACAAAATAAGTTTCTGTGCATCATAAATTACCCAGGCTATAGTATTCTGTCAAACAAGCACATAACAGGCTAAAACATGGTCTCCATGGTTGGCTTCTTTCACTTAGCAAAGTATTTTCATAATGTT